AGTTCAGGTGCCGAAATCTGCTGAAATCTCACGTGATGAGCGACTGCGGGTTCTGAGGTCGATGAGGTGCCTCCCAGAACTTCCCCCTCGAAAATCCCTCAATTTCCCACCTGGCGAGCAAAATCTACTTCTGCGCTCGACCCAGGGGACCTCCCAGAAGTCAGCATCGCAGCATCGCCATCTGGCAGTTCAGGTGCCGAAATCTGCTGAAATCTCACGTGATGAGCGACTGCGGGTTCTGAGGTCGATGAGGACTCTCCCTCAATTTTCCCCCCAGTAAGCCGATCTCACTTGCCACGGGGAGGTTTTCCGGGTGATCAGCGATTACTGTCGCTTCTACCCATGTGCATGAGTCATATGCAGGGACCGACATTGTCTGTCAAGTCACTTGCCTGAATTGATGAGCCGTGCACGACCTATTCTAGATTTATCACACTAAGACTTAAATTAGGATAGTGCCCATCGCCCCATGTTTTTTAGTCCATCTAAGCTTTTCGCCTGCGCCATGTCCTAACCACAGTAAGATAAAATTTGAATAGTTGAACAAATTTTGGGATTATGATAGGGTAGGTATGACCCGTACCGGAGGGTGCTCAGCTCTAGGCCCGTGGTGCCAAAGGGGCCACGGATTGTACCGGCAATTAGCTGACATTGAATTTTTGACCAGGTGGGTAGATGGACTTCTCGCACCCTTCAACCTGCACAAAGTTCACTCTTTCGTCTTCAATCAACGTGAAGATCCCTTATCGAATTTGTGAGGCTCAGGCGAGAGAATCAAACTCGTGTGAGGAGTGTTGATGACTTCAATCGGAGGGGCGTCTTCATCAGAGGGTGATCTGGTGAACGAACCACACAACACGGTCCACACCCAGGCGGCTTTGCTCATGTGAACCTAGCAATGTTCTGTCGTTCAGGATGCTGACCAAAAGATCCTAAACATTACACAGGTTTGTTCAATGCTGAGCTCGATCAAGATGGCGAAGTTGAAGGATGGTGCGAACCGGCCGCAGGGGGGAACCGAATGGGCGGATTTCTTGTGAGGTGATGAAGCACTGCCTTCCAAACTCATCCAGTGGTGAAGAAAATTTCCAACCAAATGGGGATCGATGATTAGCCGCTCGATTTGCACCAAATTCGCGCTAAGGCGGCCTCTGGCCTCAGTGGTGGTTAGACGCCCCTCCTCTAGACTATCGCTTTTCATATCCACGCACCATCACGTCCAATATGCTTAGTGTGGATGGTTCCATAGTATGTCATTTCGACTGCTGAATAGTATGGCCGCTCAAGGTTGGTCGAGCTTACCATCAAGAATCGTACGAAGAACCGTCCTTCATCGGCCACAATTGGTAGGAGGAGAGCGACCACGAACATACTCTTGCCGGACAACGATCTCAATACTGCCACTGATTGCCACTTGGCCGCATCACGTATATCCGCCCAAGAGAGGATGTTACTGCCTGCTTCACGCTTCCAGCTATGGACGACTATTTGAGGTCACGACAGAGGTCGGCCATGATAAGATGACCGCTTTTCTACTTGAAGTATGCCTTGCGAGCAGTATCGTCTCCAAGCACAGTTATTTCCCAACACTATAGAAGCTCGAGCCTATGGCCTGGTTGAGACTGCTGCTTCTGGCTGCTTATTGTTCAATATCGATCCTGACGATGGATCTGACTGAGCGATGGTCCCGTTGGGAAAAAAATCATGGGTTTCAGAAGCTCGCTACCGGACTTACCGTTCCACCGCTGCCGTCTCTATCTCCTGCCGACTTCGACGTGGTTCGACGGCAAAGCATTCAACGCCAAGGAAATGTGTTCTATGGGATATTGCAAGATGTAGAAGACCATGAGCTTGATGATGTTGACAGCCTGAAAGCAGAAGGCGATGGCAACCTGGGTCAGTTGCCATCGAGGGAAAATGATGGAGCGATGCAAACCGCTTTGGAAAGTGCGTTGTCAATGTCCTCCGCTGTCGACAGTCAAACAGAACACTACGTCGCCCTCAGTCCATGGTATCGACATCGTCGATCTAGCCTAGGCTTGTCTCCTGTAGCTCTCGTGACGAATGACCGCATGCGGGCCACCCGTGACCACATCCCAGGTCTTCACTCAAGTGCCATCCACCTCAACCTCCAACCATCTTTTGGTCTTTGCCACAAGGAAGAGGTGGACCTGCAGCTGACATCGCTCCTTTGGACGGGAGCGCCGGTGGTGTGGGTGGTCATATCACCGATGCACTCGACCAAATTCGAGAGACAACTGGTGGACCACCTTCACATATCGCCCCATTGCAGTCAATTTGTCCGACATCACCAGCTGATAATCCCGCCGTCCCTTTTGGACGCCTGGGAGGTCGAATTCAGCATTTTTGCGCAGGTTGCGGGCGAAGCCGTGAGGTTGAATTATCAAACATACTATTACCAATGGCGCTTGGGTGCAAGTATATCGGAGACCATCAACGGCTGTGAACAGGTCTGGGGTCCGCCGCCCTTCTACCAGTACTGTCAGGTGGGTGATGTGAGATGCAAATCGCAGTCACCCATCACGGCCGCCAATATGGAAATACCTTTCCGTCATGCACGAGAGCTTCGTGATCAACCCGGTGACAGCCTCGAAACCCTGATCATCGCCCCTTCTGTTGAAAGGACCACATCACCGAGCGCCAGATCGCTTGAGTCGGGTAAGTATAGCACTCTTTTTGTTCAGCAAGACTCCCCGTCAGGATCTTCATGTCGTGGGCTGCCCTCCCCGACCATAGGCCCTGAGAATGGCGTTCAAGATGTCGCACAACCTGCTCCAGGCTCAAACCACGGTTCTTTCACCACCCTTCGACGTGCCCGGCAGGCGACACTCCGTCTTCCAGCTTCCAGCCTCGGCTCCAGAGAACCAATTTCACCCGTGAGCTCGACACAGGAAAGTTCAGATGAAGCTTTATCCGGCGATTCGGATGAGCCAGTTGACGATTTTGAGTCGGATGGAGATAACTCCAATCCACCAGCTACACCAAGCCGAGTCGAACGCGCTGCTCTGCCACCATTCCAACCTTCGCTCTCCCAGCTCGAAGCAACAGCGGCATTCCCATCGACAGGGGCGATCCCGGCCTCCTTCGACCCCACGCTACAGGAAGGCAATGCGTTCGGTCGACTCACGATCGGAAGTGGAAGCGAAGGAAGCTCGGCAACGCCGGTGAACGTCAGGAGTCTAGCCCTGCTGACGCCTCCTAGCACGGGAAAGTCGACCCGGAACCACGAGATCCGGGAATCTCCAAGTCGCGAGACGCACGACCGGGAGATTGACCAGTACATCGAATTTGGGATCCAAAATCGGGACAGCATTGCCTGGAAGTACATCTCACCAGAGGATGCGGGAGAAGTGTTGTCCAGGTTCCGGCCTCAGGTCTGGCTCAATACCAGTGCCATTATGGAGACCCTTTCTCATATGGTGGACGCACGACCCGACGTGTACGTTGTGAACGCCCATTCATTCAGTACGGCACTTCGCACCGGTGAACTCGATCCGATTGCTTCTCACTGGGGCCTGGCGACGATCATTTTGATTCCCGTGCATCTAGAGGAGAAGAATCACTGGTTCCTGGTCAGCCTCGATCTCCAACGTCGTGTCATCTCAATGCACGAGGACTCTATCATCCGCAGTGTAGAAGATCTGTTCCTAGATTACCTGCTCGATCAAGATGCGTGGACAGTGGAGCATCCTCAGGTGAGTGACCCTTCAGTCCTTTCGATTTGTTACTAAACATCATCCCCAGGTCCTGGTGAATGATGGACACAATTGTGGTATCATTCTGCTGAGGGAAGCCGAGGCGATCTTGCGACCGGACACGGACATCCCCAATGACTTTAATTTACTGCGGCAACGGTATGTTCGCATGGTCGTTCAAGGTCCATCACTTCGAAATTTTCCTTCAGGGATATCGAACCCGAGAACTCAGAGTTCAGAGCTTTCGCCAGACGAAAATCTTTCCAACGACATGATCCTGAATTCTCCCGAGCAAGAAACACCATTGAGTCATGCGGAATTGGAAACACTTGCCTCCGCGGTCGGATGCGATAGAGTTTTAGGAGACCTCCAGGGTCTGTTCGAGACTCTCCGTGTCACTCCTGTTCGTGGTATCGAGCAGGCCACTCAGCGGTACATCGATGCAAGAGATAATCTTAGGACCGAGGCGCAAAAGCGTGCTTTTGTGGCTCACATATTGGACAGCGAAAGGCCCGATATTGAGCGGGCCCTACGGATCTGCGCGATGGAGTCGGACTCGGCGACTGCGGACGAAAGAGTGGTCGCACAAATGAGCACGCTGCAGTCAGGTGTAAACCTGTACAGCGAGGGGGAAAGCTTGGAAATCCTTGGTCCGTTCCTTGGTCGGGTCCAGAAGAGTCTCGCGGCAATCTACATGGCGAGAATATTTGAAGTGCTGGTTAAGTATTTCCGCGAAGCAAAAATAGCCCGACGGGAAACTCAGAAGAGAATCAAAAATCATGAGAATTACAGGCGTCGGCGCGAAGCTCAAGGTTATAAAGTCACGAAACGACGCAAAGAGGCAGATGGTTTCGAAGCTGTACCAACAAAAGCCTCGAGCACCAGTATTGAGGAGATTTCCGCACTATCAATGGGCCATGCAGACTCGGATGCTTACGATTTGCTGGCGGGGAATTGCGAACGTAAAGAGAAAGATAAAAATCGGGAAAATGTAAGAGTGGCCAGAAATTTGGGATCGCAGCTCCTGGCATATGAAGCTGAAGCCGGGCCCGGGTGGCCCTTGTGGATGTTCATCCCTACAAACCAGATCTCGTCTCCAGCCGATTCGTCTTACAATGTCACCGCGAAAAAGTAAGTCCTTGAGGGAAATTAACCTTGTTGGAAGGCTAACTTTTTTTTACAGATTTCTGAGGCTCCAGGGTGCAGACAAACCAGTACTGGTCGATATGGTCAGAACAAACAATCCACGCCTATGGCAAGCATTGCCAAGATTTGCTGAAAACATCCATCGAATCCTTCGCGGCGAGGAGATCGGGTTCGAACTTTTGCAAGAATTGCGCTGACAGGTCTTTGTCAATGTGGCTTTGCTGGTCTGTGTGGGTGCGTCCATTGATGGGGCGATGATCTCTATCCCGCGGGTACTATATTTAGATTCGGTAGCGCCGTGCTACATAGAAAACCGACGTCCTGGCAGCAGGCACAATTGATCTCAATGTCGGAATGCGTACTCCAAGCTCCAAGACAGCGTTCATTGACTATACTCAATACATCTGGCATATTCGTGGTAGTTTGGGGATGTTGCTTTTGTCCGGGAAAGCTTTCCTCGTAGCCCAGATACTGTAGCATGCACTACAATGGGTTCGATTACGTTAAGTTATCTGGGCTGGCGAGTTGAAATGAGCATACGATGTACCGGGCAATGAAAAGGCAATATATATAACACTGCAGTTGTATGCCCTCCATGATATAGGCATACTAGGAACTGCAAGAAACGTTTTGGATGTTTTAGATCTGCTCAAAGACTCCTTGCCAGAGATATTCACCTGCTTTCTTTGCGAACTATCACTCGTGTGCTGTAAACATTGCACATGACAGTTCCAATCAAATCAAATCAAACCTCCGTCGATTCCATTGCTGTCATCCCGAGGACTTCCTTTTCACTATCAATTATAAGATACAATAGACACTCAGTCAGATTTTGTTCTTTCATACCACTTTAGGCATCGATTCATGTACCGTTTTCCAGTCTCGATCAGGCATGGAATATACCAATAGTGGTAACGTACACTTCAGATCTCTTATGGAGCTCTGGTATGGTTTATATCGAGCAGTCTCAATACGGAATATCACACTTCCCCGGTATTTGACAGAGAACATCATTTCCGCGCTGGAAGAAGCCAAAAAATGGCTAGAATCTGAGGTATACGCGTCGATGCCTATAAATCCCTTTCCTCGAAGTATTGATTCCATTATACTCTCATGGCCCAATTGGCCCCCAAGTCGTATCCTACTCATCTCTGGAAGACTGTCGTATGGACTCATTGCCTGTCAAAATATAGGGAACCATACATAGTTCGAACTGCTTTTGACCTGGTAAAATGGGACAATGCGAGAAAGAGCCGAATCATCTTGAGGTAGGCATGCTTCTTGGACGTGAGACGGCCAGTGTTCTGCTGAACACGTGAAAAGACTTTGGACATGATTGTTTTTCTCTAAAATCCCGTCAACTCTTTGATACTTTTCGAATCCCTGGATGAGGGACTTTGCCGTTGGCCAGACATCCTGCAAGTGTAGGAATCCAACACATGTTCGAGTCGTCGAGCCAAACCCTATCTGAAATTGCTGCTGCCTAAACTTAAAGTGGGGTCAGGGACACACCAGCTTCGGAAGCAGACCTTTCTTTCAAGAACCTAAAGTGGACCATAGGAGCTCAAAACAGTACACCAGTACGGGGTATAATTGCTCCACGTCCACAATCATGTACAAGACTATGTCGTACATATAGTACGCTCGGTATGTTGGCTTTGTGCCCTCACGGGAGGACCTTAGTGCTATTTTGTATGCCCTTTGTGGGCGAAAAGGGCTGTGCAGTCTATAGACTTGCTGAAAATCTAGTCAATTTCAACATTTCTTACGAGTTTAACGACAAGCGCAACATGCCTAGTGTACACAGCACAAGAAAGAAGCTCAACCCTCCTCCCTCACAAACTGCAAAAGTGCAAGTGCTGGCTATTCAGGGCCAAGCGGGTAGTGACGAAAGCTCGAGCTATGAGCAGCGAATACTTGACCGCATCAAGAAGTGTCTCCAGCGAGCGGAGCATGCAAACACGCCAGAATCGGAAGCCCAAGCCGCATGGCGTAAGGCAAGTCGCCTGATGGCTCAATACAACGTCACGCAGGCCGATCTTCTAGACCAGACTACTAACAATGACGACTACGCAGCTCTAGGAGGGCAGTCCGTCGTGGATATTACGAGCACTAAGGGTGGTGAAGCAAATGTGATCTCCCAAACTTGGGTTCTGGAGATTGTCTCCGCGATTACTACCTTATTCGACTGCCGGAGCTATTCCACCCATCGTCGAACCTCCATTGAATGGACCTTTTACGGGATCTCTGCGAACACGGTCGGCGCAGCAATGGCCTTTGAAATGGCTCATAATCTGACACTTGAATGGGCCCGGAGCAAAACTGGCAAAAATGCAAGGCATAGCTATTGCCTAGGCGTTGGCGGAGGCCTGCTGAAGATTGCCCGGAAGGAGAAGAGTGAGGAGGCGAAACATTCGGACGGGGCAGGAGGACGAGGTGAGCAAAGTCAACGAGAAGAACGCAGTCCCCATGCTGCAGAGGTTTCTCATCCTGGTCAGAATGCGACCTCATACACATTGCTCAACGCCAGGCTCTCACCGTGCCGTGAGAACGACGACGAGCTGGCAATCAAGCTAGACGATAGTGATAATGACTCCTACGATACGGCAAGAGAGCAGGGAAATATTACTGACGATGGCGACTTCCAAGATCAAACAAGTGTCAGTGACGAGGCCGAAGCTGAGGCTGAAGTAACTTCTAAGGAGCAGGAAGAGGAGCCACTTGACCTGGACACTGACTTTGAAGAGCAACTTCACCGGATGGCACCCCGTCATGTCCCTGAAATCTTGACGATTGTGGTTGACCACGACAGGGAAGGTCAGCTCACGGTCAATCCCTGGAATTCATGGCAGGCCCTGGTGCGATTTCGTCAATCCGCCGAGAAGGTTGCAACGGAGTACCTGAAGGCGCAGAACAGGAAGCTTCACAAAGGTAGACGCAGAGAATACACAATCAGGAACAAGGGTGCGTACCGAGATGGAGTTGAAGACAGCAAGAAGATCGATGTGAAGAGGAGAAGGATCCAGGGTGCTTGACTGCTTTTTCGGTTGTGCAATGTAATATAGGGATTGGGTACGGTGAGGCCGGGCGACGAATTGAGGCACTACAACTTACAGAGGAGGTGGTGAGACTACAGAAGAGTAAGCTCGGGGAGGACATCCTGACACAAAGGCATCAGAGCGGCTTCTTGCCCATCTATCGCAAGCTAGAGATGAGAATTCGTCAACACCTGCGGTACCGCATCATCGAAGGCGGTTTGAACTTAAATTTCTTCAGGGTCTTCTTCCAGGAAGAAATATATGAGTTATGATAGGTCGATGGTGACGGAAAGATATTGCAGATGCTCTTAGATCTGGGAGCAGGCGTAGATATCAAACTTGTATGCTAGGCACTGCATGCCAAGGAACTCCAGCAAGGAATCGTGAGAGGATGGTGTAGATACTACATAAGGAGACACTATCTCAAGAAAAGCTTTTCTAGTGTTGAAGTCGAAATAAGATGTGATACAGTATAAGAAAGATGATTTGTTGACGCTCGTGAAATCTGAGTATTTTGATTTGATTTGATTACGTCATAGTCTGTCCCAGCCACTCTACAGTAGCTATGCAGCGTACGTCTATAAATACAGGTGGTTGCCCCCGTCGAGTTTCTGTACGACAAGCCGTTCCGCCAGAACTGCTTCTGTATCTACCCTCGTCGTGGACTCTGACCTGTACTTATGGCCTTAATGAATGCCCCGTTTCCGTGTATCTTGTCCGGCCTTTCCAGTTGGATCCCAGGTCACGTGATGCTCGCTGCAGGCAGCATCGCGACTAGTGGCAACTGCCTACCAGGCAGTTGCTGCACTAGTCAGTGCCCGAGGGCACTGGCTATGACTATAAATAACTTCCGTACCCTCGTAGGTAGTTCCTAATATCATCACACTTGTCTCCCAGCTCTGAGCTTCAAGTTTTCCTGACCTTCCTCGACTTCTGTCTGATAAGAAACACTCGTCTATGCTTAAGTGTATGCGAAAACCGTAGACGGCACTGCTCGGAATTGTTCCAGCAGTCCCGTCCTAATCATCATCTTTGCTGCACGGACAGCGATAGGTGAGCTGCAGAGAACCTGCTTGATGTCTCCGCATGGAGTTAGGCCTGCCCACATTCTTTGCCGCTCGTCGCACCAGTTTCGGCACTCCAGGAGGATGTGTCGTACTGTTTGGCGGCCATAGCCGCAGTCGCATTGATCGGTGTCGGCTTTGTTGATGGCGTGCAGATAGCCGCGCATGCCGATCTTGCCGCTCCGCATCTGCGTCATGACCGAGCTAATTGCCCGGTGTGTACCTACATGTGGTGTTAAAAGCGCGTTTCCTGGACGGACTCCGAGCCGGTAGAGCTCGCGGCCATGTTTAGCGACTTCCCAGGACTTTTCCCATTCGGCCTTCATCTTCTGTCGAATGGTTGTTTTCGTGGTGGCTGTCAATGTGAGGGTGGGTTCTGGTGAGTGCCCAGGTGGCTCCAGACTGTGACTCCTGCCGTGCCTTGTTGCAGCTTCCTTGGCTGTACGATCGGCCTTTTCATTGCCTGGTATGCCGAGATGTGCAGGAATCCAAAAGATTTGGATGTCCCATCCTCGATTTCGGATTTGGTCTAGAAGACCTATTGCGCGCACCAGGATGTATTGTCCCGAAGGGCACTTGGGGTTGCCCATGGCTTGAATGGCCGCCTGATTATCCGTAAAGATGATGCATTTGCCGGGCGTGTTTGTCTTCGCTTCGATCTCGAGCGCCATTTGAAGTGCTAGCTCAATTCCTCGGAGCTCGGCTGCATACACGGTCGACGTATTCGTAGTACCCATATATTCAGTTCTTGTTGGCAGAACCTCCCTGACCGGTAAAGTGAGAGCAATCGCAGCGGCACCGACGTGGCCATCGATGCCACTGCCGTCTGTATATATGCGCAGTGCTTGCGTATCCACGGCATCGTGCCGCTTGATAGCCTCCACGGCAGATTTATCAATGTGTGTAACTGGCGGTGAGTATGCAAACATCAAATCTTGGTATCTATGAGCAACATTGATATGGATTGTATTGTCATGGCTGTCAAACATACAGATGTATTCGGATAGGTCAATACAGTAACATGTGGTAATCCAGTCACGGTGACAGTCAATGTATCATTGGCATATTCACTATGCGGGGTATTCCACCACGCCGGAATGTCGATTATAAATGATTCTGTCCCGAACAAAGGTAATCCACAGGAGTACACAACAATCCAGAGACCGCACGACCTTGTACTCGAATTAGTCAACTCTGGCCGGTGGAAGGAACTTTACCAACACAGTTCAGCCTGGCAACTTAGAATTACAATGAGCATCCTCGTCCTAGGTGGAAGGGGCAAGACAGCGACTCACCTCGCAATCTTGCTCGAGCAGCATAACATTTCTTTCGTGGTTGCTTCTCGCAACCCCACGGAAAGCGGTTCATTTCAGCATCTACGATTCGACTGGCTCGATGAGAGTACATACGATAACGTGATAGCCCCCAGCATGGATCGCATTAGGGCTATCTATATGGTTGCCCCGGAGGTACCAGACTGTTTGACTCCCATGAAGAGATTTATCGACCATGCTCGCCAAAGGGGTGCCAAAAGATTTGTGTTATTGAGCTCGAGTGCCATTGCAGCGGGCGGTCCCTTTTTCGGCAAGGTCCATGAGTACCTCTGCACCTTAGAGGTCGAATATAGTGTTTTGAGGCCTTCCTGGTTCCAAGGTATGCCGAACCACCGCACTCTAGATGAGAACTATGTGAGTTAATGCTCATTTCGGATCAGAAAATTTTACCGATCTATATAACCACGATCAGATAGTCCAGGAGGGTAAAATATACTCGGCAACCAGAGATGGAAAGGTGGCTTTCATCTCTGCCAAGGATATCGCTATGGCCGCTTTTCACCTACTCACAGCGGAAAAGTCCTCGGACACAGACCACATTCTGCAGGGTCCAGAGCTTCTTTCATACGACGAGGTAGGGTGACCCCAAAAAACCGTAGACCACACTAATATCACCCAGGTCGCAGCTATCATCTCAGAAAAATCAGGTCGGCGAGTCAAACATGAGAGGATAACTGTCGCCAACTTAGGAGCCAAGTACGTCCAGGTTGGCATGCCGGTCGAGTATGCTCAAACTCTCGCAGCATTGGAGAATGACATTGGAGACGGCTCAGAGGCTCCCTTAGGCGATGAATTCTTCCGAATCACGGGCCGTGCACCGCAGAGCTTTCGTACATTTGCTGACGAGAATTTTGCGAGGTGGTTATAGGAGCACCAAGTCCAGGGCAAGTCCACCATACAGGATCCCGATACCTTGTTGTGTCCTCAAAGTGAACGCGAAAAGGACAATGATCGGGTTTATTAATGATTTTGCTGAGCTGCATAAATAGAATTCAGCAGCGAAGTGGCTCGGAGCTCGGACTACGTAGATCTCGATTACATCGAGTTATCCATTTGGGCGAGTTCAAAACAGTGTATGTTGTGCACTGAACAATGGGATAACGCTGCCGCAGTCGTATGACCTACGCAGCGTGGATCTATCAACGATTGGAACAGGCCGCTGGGGTTAAGGTACATTCTTGAGCCCCGCTTGTGGAAGAGAGACAGCGTGGTCAGTAACCCAGCCATTCCCAGAGTAACACCTAGATCTCATTGATAGGTTCACGAGTTACCTTGATCATGTCAGGGATAATAAGCACACCGTAGTTTTGGAGTGTGTCCCGGGTGGAGCGAGGGCGTCGGGATCCACCCATATAAATGCAGACTATAAGAAGAAGGGTTTTTGTGTTTTGAGCTGCGGCCCGGGCTTTCGACTAAACAACCAGCCGGGCTTCAGCTTCAGCAACATGTTCGCAATTTCCTTCCAGACGCTCCTCTTTGCGACCTCGATCCCAACAGCCTTCGCTCTGCTCTACCTTGCGCTCCTCGTTCACTACGAACTGTTCCTTAGCCCGCTATCCAGCTACCCGGGCCCTTTCCTGGCGCGGATTTCATCGATTCACAACCTCTACCATGCCTTCAAGAAAGATATACACCTTGACATCTGGAAACATCATGAATACTATGGTAATTCGCACCTGGGCCATTATCCATGTCGCTGACTACTTTGCCTAGGAGATGTGATTAGATATGGTCGCAAACGCCTCTGCTTCAGATCTGAGAAGGCTTACCGAGGTATGTCTTACCTTCATCGTTGGAAAGTATAGTCTGATCAGGCAGCCATCTACATGGAGCCATCGGCTCACAAGAGCGGTGCCTATGATCAACACCACCCCTTTCAGAGCGAGGATCGTATCACTTTCACAACGACTGATCCGAAAGATGCTTTTCGCCTCAGAAGGCTCCTTGCGCCTGCATTCAGCCGCAATACCTTAACTGCACTCGAGGAGAGATTGGCTGCCGTTACAGATGTCTTCTGCCAGACGCTATTGGCGCACAGAGGCTCTAATCAACTCGCCGATTCTTGGTCTGACCCAATAGATGTGGGCCAAGCAAGTGAGATTTCCTCGCCTCATGATTGAGAGTCTCGCTAAGACATCAGGCTCTTTCTTCACACTAGATGTAATGATGACGACCATCTACTCTAAAAACCTGGACCTAATGCGGCGACCCCAATACCGGTGGTTAGTATCGGCGTTTCTCGACAGCAACCGCTATATGTATCTACATTTCGCGTGGCCAGAGCTTTTTACGTCGAAGTTTTGCACCTGGTTCCGTGTGCGTGACTGGCTCTTCCCTAGAATGGCCGAGGAATCACGACACTTCGAGACCCTGGCTGCCGAACTGATTCAAGGTCTAGAGACGGATCTTTCAAAAAAGGAGTTCTACACCGCCCTTCTGTCTGCCAGAGACCCAATGAGCAAGCAGGGATATTCTAAATCAGACATTAGGAAAGAGCTCAAGTCTCTCACCCGATCTGGTAAATGTGATCTATCTTGTTGTCTCGTTTCGGCTGGTCTAACTGACCAGGTGGTGATACCATGTCCGTTACGATTGCGAGCACACTTCATTGGCTCTCCATTGATCGGGAATGGCAAGACTCCGTCGCGCAAGAGGTTCGGGACAATTTTAGCGCTTACGAAGACATCGTTCCCGGCGAAAAGCTGGACAATTGCACCCGATTGTTCCAAGTGATCAATGAATCCTTGCGACTTGATTCGCCGATCCTAGGCTGTCCATGGAGACTTCTCACTGAAGATGTCATCATTGATGGACACCTGGTCCCACGTGGGTATGAGGTTGGTGTGTGCCATTACGCCATGCATCGCTCTGCCAAACATTTCGACCAGCCTTCCAGGTTCGATCCTCGGCGATTTCCGGACACGAGAGGACTCCAACCTCCTCAGGGTCCAGGGGGATTTTACCCATTTTCCTTGGGACGGAGGGCATGTCCTGCCAAAGAACTTGTGGAGAGGGCTCTTACCGTCTGTTTAGCACGGACCATCTGGCTGGCCAAAGTTCGACTTGCTCTGGTCAATGAGCCATCGCCATTGGCCAGCAACGGAGAGGAACATGACGGAACTTCCTATGAGTTGAGAGATTGTTTCACCGCAGAAAAGTTCGGCCCCGTTCTTGAGTTTCAACGACGTGAGAGCACCCGTCTCCCATGGGAATGAGCGAATGAGAAGAAGCCGGGTACGAAAGTGGAATGGACGCTGTCAGGCTACGACAATGACGAATGTTGTACAAAGGAGTGTATACAAATCATCAATTAGTCCTCACCAATGAATTCCTCGTATATTGTATGCCTCCTTCATCACTCGCGCATTGGTGTAGATCCGTAGCCGGATTTGTAAATAACACTTACAGTATCAATTCAAATCACCGGAGCTTTGAAACCGCAAGCACCCTCGTAGCCTAATGAGCACCGTAGAAGGCACACAGTAAGCTACCAAGACAAGTGGCTTGGATGCAGGGCTTCAGTTAAGTTTTACTCAAATTACTGAATTGGTTAAGCTCGGAACCCAAGCAGCCAATGAAACCTAGTCATTGAAATAAGGTTGAGTAGGTTAATTCCAGTACCGCGACACTTTTCGTCATTAGACGGGCGAACTACAGGGGTGACTCGGAATCCACACGTCCCCTTTATCATGACCATTGGCCAGACTACGAGATACCCAACCAATATATCAAAAATAATTTGGATCCGCAACTCAGTTGTTATCGTACATACTTTGCAATCTCATCCATTTGACGTTGCACGGTCAACGGTAAATTCCATCTCTAGACTTCGTCGCCATCGGGTTGGACACCATAACTTGTAAACGCCATACAAGACGATTACAGCCGGAATGTAAATGTATGTCGCAAATTCACTACCGATAACCTTTTCCGAGAGCATTTCAGAAAATCCCATGGGGCCAATGCCCGTCCAGATTTGGCACGCAAACACCAGGAGGTTAAAGAAAATGCCCATCCAGGACCTTACCAGTGCTAGTAAGTATCGATGGCTGAGGCTAGAGAGGCTGTGGCCTTGCTTTCGCAGCCCATTTCGAAACCGGATATGCGCCACAAATATAGATGTTTGAACGAACAAGGCAGCAGGTCCGCCAACTCCTATAAGCCATGCATATAGAACTGGAAAGAGGTCTGAAGTCGAGATGAATCCGAGCAGGGCGACGATAGCGGCGATCCCCAGGCTCATGACGGGACGACCGCTCCGGTCGCGCAGGGTGCAAAACTTGGGCGCCTGGTTTTGCCAAGCAAGGGATGTGATCGCTCTGGAGCCTCCAAATACCAAGGACAGAGCCACGGAAAGCTGGGTCAGAACCACTAGACCTTGTAAGAACCTGAACGCGATCTCAGGAGTATTTCGGTCAACCATAACAATGCTGATGGGAGAGGCCGCAGCGTCGGGGTAATTGGAGGCACTGATAAGTCGGAGGTCCGTGTATGGTGCTTCAAGGCCGGTGGCGAGCGCCGATAAAAGACGCAGGGCGGTCAGAGTCCAAAATGAGTATTTGGCGGCCATTGAGACACCTTCCGGCGATCTCGTGGACTCTAAGGCTCCCAAACTCATCAGATCAAGCCCACTCGACCTTGAAGCGGAGAACACGACGACACTCGCCCAGCCGAAGACTCCGTTGTTGAAAGCACCGGGTTTAACCCAGTTATTGTATCCCTCACGACCTTGGTGTGAACGACTGGATGTGGACGTAATGATACCCAAAGTTCTGAAACCCAACTGTCAACTCACAAAAGTAGAAACTGGGAACGTATGATCTTACGTGAACCCAAGTAAACCAAGTGCCTTGGTAACACCTGCAATTGCCGCTAACTGAGCCATAATTTTCGTTTGGACAAACATGAAGACCAAAATACAACTCAGTAAAATACCGACCCATGTGCTAATTCCCAACGATGGAAGGTATACGTTGAGTAACCTCGCGGTAGAGGCTACCGCAAATGATATTGAGATCATCGAACGAATTGCATAGATCCATCCGACCGCAAAGGACCAGGCGGGATCGAGGTAGAGATATGTGAAATTGATGAATGACCCTGCTGGTTGGAAAGAATTCATCTCCGATAGAGACTCTGTGGCGCAATAAGTGACAATTTGGGCGAGGACCTCAGATATAAGTAGCGACGCGGGTCCACCAGCTGCGAGAGCCATTCCAGAGAACACGAAAAATGAGTTATCTAAAACATGATCAGTAGATTGATTGACCAAGGCACACTCGGTATCGTACCCATGGCACCATTGATGGCCAGAAAATACAAGTAGTGGTGGTGAAACTTCGGGGGGTTTGGGTTCGTAGACAGCGTCCACACGGACGTCGATAACAGTGTGAAAATATTCATAACGGACCACTGTTTTGAACGCGGAGCCCGCAGAAGACCCAGATCGGCGATTAAATAGATTTTCTTCACACCCACTGAGACGTCGTGCTCTAGTATCCAAATCACAGCATTCTACGGGCCCACCAGCGCGCTCCGCCTTTTAGTGACTTCACCAGTCGGAGAAGGCGAATGAGGGAAGATGCAGGGTGCTGTAACATCCATTCTCTGTCAGAGAAAATTAGCAATAATGGGAGTATTTGGTATGGAAAGATCTCGGTGCACCCTACCACCTATAAAATCCCCTTGATTCCCCCGCCATCTTGGTGCGTCAATGTCCATCCACCATGCACCTACATCGCATCTGGCCACACTTGCTATCCATCACTATCTGCATCGTAGCATTAGTTCAACCAAACACTGAAAGTGGAATTGAACAGACACTATGGGTCGAAGAACGCTTCGACGACTTTATCTTGGCCTATTGGGCCAAAGGTGGTTGGAAGGGCGCGAGCAGTTGGACTGGAGATGTCTTAAGTCGGCTAATGGTCAGTTATCTATCATCGCAGGGCGAAGTTGCAAATCACAGCAAAGTAAACGAAATCTTTGCGCATGTCGTTTCTCGATCATTGAGCGCATGGACACTCATTCAGTACCTGACACAAGCAAACGATGACTTTGGATGGACGGTGGCCCTATTGCTTGAGATCCTCGAGTATACCCACGAATACGAAAAGCGATACCCCGACACTAGTTCTTCGGCGCGACTTCCAATTCTGCGAGGTCGCCTTGCGTTCCGGGCGGCATTTCTCCACGATCTGATGATTGAATCTTGGACCGCAGAGCTCTGTCACGGAGGAGCTGAGTGGTATGTTCGTACTCGTCGGCGGTTTGTCTGGCCCTCACTCGGCGTTCGAGAGATATACAAGAACACCATCACCAATCATCTCTACAATGGGAACAATGCGCAGATATACAACGCTTACGATGGTGCCGTTTTCCCTGTGGGCGTGATCGAGATCGCGGTCCATGGTCTTCGAGTTTTGGGGAAAATCATCCGTCCATTATTTGGGGGCTCGAGGGGCCACCTACGTCTTTTCCAGTTCGCAGATGTCGCCTTGCTGGGAAGAGCCACCAAGGGCATCAACTGGATGGACCAAACCGACCTTCTCACCGAGGACTCACTATACGTTGATGGAATCAGACCGCGTTTCAAACAGTTCTCCCCTGACACATCGCCCACTGTGGTCTGCGACGTCCGGGGTGAGGCGGTTTTCACCTACAACCAGGTTGCTGGCCTCCGGGCGCTCTACTTCTTGACTCAAGCTACAGGCAAAGGTGAATTCCTCCGCAACGGCCATCACGCGATACAAAACTTAATTGACGCTACCATTTCTGGAAATCTCGGTTGGGATGGCATTCTAGAAGAGAACTGCGATCGACCTGGTAACTGTTCACAGGACATGCAAGCTTTCAAGGGTGTGGTCTTCCTCGAAGTCCAGCGTTACTGCCGGGCGATTTCGGGAGATGCGACTCGCGAAATTCGAGCCTGGCATGTAGACCAATGTCGACAATATACGCCTTGGATAAGGACAAACGCCGCAGCTGCTCGCTCTACGATAGACAACAAAGGCGCATTCGGAGGTTATTGGGGCATTAAGCACGTAAATCACAGCCAGGGCGGGCGTGGTCGCACCATAGAAACGCAATTTTCAGGCCTCGCGGCTCAGTTGGCGCTATCATTCTTTGAGAAGAGCTTCAGTGAGTAGGACTTTTGCTTGGATTCAGACACCCCGAAATCTGGTTGGAAATTCATGCCGTCCTTACCGTGGCGGCCGGAATATCTTACTGTTGCATGCATCTTGTGCTCTTCACAGTTATTGTCGACGAGGGTGAAAAGCGAGCTCCTCCCAGTTTGTGTATGAGCATCGGCAAAGATGGATAACAGTTGTTCTGGAAAACTTGTGCCTGCTGGACGTGAAATGCGGTTCCTTGACGAGCTTTTTCATATGCTTCAGAACCTAGATCTTTGATGGCAGTTCAGGGTCGTGAATCCACCCTCGACTAGCCTTGCGATATTTATAGTAAACAGGAGGATAAAAAAAGGTCGGGACCGATGCTTCTAAAATTAGCATTGAGGAATATGCTTTAAAGCCTGCACGAGAGAAGTGTATGTGCTACCAAAACCACCGCAAAATAACAACCATGTTCTTCAAAATCATTGTGGTTTTTGGTATCCTGGGCCAGATTAGCTGCCATACCTGGATTGAGCAGCTTTCCTTGGTCGACCAGGATGGTCAACCCACTGGTGACCCGGGATTTATACGAGGCTACGGTCAGTGGCGTCATTTTCCAACACGGCCATAGACTGACCAGATGTTCATTCACAGTGCCCCGGATTGCGCCCAATTTTATTGATGACGACAATACTAATCTCTTGCCACAAGCCCCATCATTAACTTTCCAGGATTCTGATTGGATGTGCAAGCCCACCCAGGTGAAAGGTAACCAGACCAATGGGGCCGTGCTGAATGCTCAGCAAGGTGATAGAGTACTCCTTCGTTATCTGGAGAACGGTCACATCACTCAACCAAGTATTCCTCCCAATAAACCAAGCTCAGGTCAGGTCTTCGTGTACGCTACGACACAACCCCAGGACAATGACAAGTTCACCGCCATACACGGTCAGTGGACCCCTGATGGAACAGGGGGCGATCAACGGGGATTCCTTCTCAACACAACATCATTCGACGACGGCCGCTGTTTCCAGTTTGATCCAACCCGCCACAGTGAGATTGCTACCAATAGGAATGACGTTTTTGGTCCCGGACCGTCCATCACAGAAACTCCGAATCGCTGGTGTGGCACGATGATCTCTCTCGACGATGAGTTCGGAAACCCCTTCCCAGCTGGCACTGTATTATCTCTGTACTGGGTTTGGGACTGGCCTACGTACGTGCCTGGAAATGCAGGGACCTCACCCACCATCCTGGAACAGACGTACACGTCCTGCATGGATGTAGCAATTGTTTAACAAAGAACCTAGCTAGGAGTTTCAGAGGATTGCATGTCGACCGCCTTAGCGTTGCAGAGATATGGTGAATTTCAGAATAGACTATGTAAGTGGAGGAAGTAGCGTCTGATGGTGAGAACAGGTACTGTAGAGCACATACAATCAGGTACCTATCAATGTTATGTAATAGCTTTCACTTCTTTAATGCAGCTATATTCATGGCCTCCGCAGCGCCGAAGATGGAGGTGGAAAATATGGATTGCAAGAATGCAGGAATAGAACTGCAGCTCCTGAAGACACTGATCCATTTTTTGTACCTTATACGAGCCATATAGTCCGGAGCAATGAATCACTGCTCAAGTCCACTTGTCGGTACATGGCCCATCACCACCGAATTTCTCCACGGGGCGCATGATAAGTCGGAATTTTCGATGGCTCAAATCCGAAAATATAAATGAGCGAAGGCTCGCTCGAAATCTGAGAAATAACACATCACCTATCTCATCATAACTGCACAGAACAATTTTCAGACTCCCAGGACTTGAGAGAAAAGGATCTCTCCGAAATGCCGTCACCTATACCAATGTTGACAGATCCTCCGGGCTGGAAGCCACCGAAGAAGACTGTGTCTGCCATGGTCACTCTTGCACTCGTTTCGTTTCTGGCCGCCCTTGATTCCACGATCCTTGTCACCATTCTCCCGGTGCGGCCCTCTATGCTTTGATACTCCCATCCGGCTAACCCACTTCCTCAGGTCATTGCGCACGAACTTGATGGCTCGACGATCGATTCATTTTGGGCAGGTACATCATACCTATTGTCATCGGCCGTCTCGCAGCCTGTGATCGCGATGCTTGCGCAGCTATTTGGGTCTCGAGCCCTTCTGGTGTCGTGTGTTTTCATGTTCGCAGTGGGTTCCGTGATTTGTGGCCTTGCCAGGAGCTTCACCCCTCTCCTCGTCGGCCGTTTTTCGCAGGGAGTCGGAGGTGGTGGCATGATCACCCTGGTTCAGACGATATTCGCGGACCTGGTCCCTCTGCGGCAACGCCCCAGGTGGTTCTCCTTGGTGCTTGCGACTTGGGCGGCCGGAAGTGTGATTGGTCCGTTTGTGGGTAGCGCCTTGGCTGAACGAGCTTCATTCCGATGGGTCTTCTGGATCAACCTCCCCCTCTGTGGAATTGCCCTTGCATTGGTGCCGCTCTGCATCAATTCTATGAACCCGAGGATCTCCTTCCGTGAGGCGTTCCTCCGAATCGATTGGATTGGTGGCCTTCTTTTCATCGCGAGCATCACCAGCGTGCTCGTCGGCCTATCATGGGGAGGCGTCCAATTCCCATGGATTAGTAAATGGACCTTACTCCCAATTCTTGTCGGAACGGTCGGAATTCTAGTTACGAATGTATGGGAACATAATTTTACGCAACATCCCTTATTACATATATCGCTTTTCCGAAGCAGTTCGATGGTGCTGGCACAGGGTTGCGCATTCCTTCAAGGCCTCATTGTAAGTGACACTGCGCTTATTCCATCTACATGGTGACACGGCAGGGCTGATTTAACGGCATAGTTACTCTGCACCCTCTATTATATTCCTTTCTATTTCGCTTCTGTCCGCCTTCGACCTCCGATACAATCCAGTATCTGTATCCTACCGCTATCATGTTCGTTGTTACCTGGTTCTGCCGTCGTCTCACAACTCATCAGTCACACCGGCCTATACCAGTGGGCGATATGGTCCGGGTGGCTCGTGACCACTTTAGGGGCTGGCCTCCTCCTCCTACTCGGAAGCCATTCTACACCGGCGGTTTGGGTGACAATCTTTATCATTTTTGGCCTGGGGAACGGAGCTTTACTTTCCGCTATCAATTTTAGTATTCAAGCCATTGCGAATCCTGGAGACGCCGGGCGAGCGGCCAGTATGTACACCTTTTTTCGAAGTTTAGGGATGGCTGTTGGAGTCGCCGTCGGTGGAAATGTGTTCCAAAATATGATGGCACATCATCTACGGGACTCTGCGTTGTCGAAAGAGATTGCAAGGGATGCAGAGGCCTATATCCAAGTCCTACGGAAGATGAGTGACACCAACCCTGTCAAGCGTGATATCTTGGACGCCTACTTAGGTGGATTCCACGGCGTGTTTTTCGTGCTGCTGGGATCTAGCGCTGTAGGCCTAGTTATTGGGCCTTTCATCAAACGCTACAGCATGGATCGTGTCACTGGGGGATTTGGCGCGGGAAATTGAGTTAAACGATCTCATTGTGTCTATCTCAGAGTCTATGTTGTTAACTACGCAAGGATGAAGCCAAAACAAGATCACCTAATACCATCCATCAACGCTCGCTGATAATCCACTCATCGGATGGGCCACCGACAACTTAACCGAAAAGCGTACGAAGAATAACTATGATGAGAGAAGCTGAGGACGCAGATGAGGTGTTGGTAAATGGAAATGCGTCACCAATGCCACCGATCGTCGGGTTCGTCATGGTGATTGGCGGTAGCGATGGTGTAGAAGATGGCTGTGTGGTGAAACCCAAGGGAGCAATGGTCGAAGTGGCTACACTTCTTGTAGTCGTGGAAGCCATCAACAGACTGGATTTGGCAGAGGAAGTTGATGTCGTTAGGCGAGAGGTGCGCATGGGCCCAAAAGTTGTTGAACGTCGGCTCGCTTCTGTCGGTAGGAGAGCGGACATGAACGGCAGACCGCCGAGGGATACGTTACCCATCTCCCCGTCATCCGACAATGTGACATTTATGGTGAGGAAGGTAGAATTTCCACCAATGTGAATATCAAGGTCTGGTTCATGTCCCATTGTGGTTGAGTTTGTGTAGAGTATGATGCGGGCATCGGGGGGGGCCGCACGGCGGCTGTTGGGCCAGATCTGGCTTACTGGAAGTCTCATACTGTGGGAAGCGTTGAGAAGGACAATGTATGGAAAGCCCGATCGATAAGATAGTCAGACTGAAAACCCCAGGGAGGCTCAACTCATATACAGTCAAAGCCGTAGACTGGAAACCAAATTAGAAGCCGAGACCTATAAATAAGCAGCGAGTCTAAAGATAGCCGAGCGGGCTTTTAGGTTACACATTCGTCTCCTATAAAAAGAGGACTTTCACGGAAGCTATAATGGTCAAAAAAGTCCAGTCCATCCTCAGACGAAGAAAACCAGCTATTTGAAAAAGTTGAATCCCCTGAAATCACTGAAATCACTGTATTTTGCTCTATCCACACCGCGTATTCCAAAAAGAAAAAAAAGGCGAAGAGATTGGCGATATTTTTTGTGTTTTTGTAATCGAATTCCTTTTAGGGTTGATATCGCTTTTTGAATTCGCAAAGCCAGCCAAAAGAGGCTTGAATTAAAGACCAAATCACATTTTCATAAGACTTGAGACTACATTTGTGGCCCTACTGGAGCCTTTGAACACTAACTTGGAAGAGAAAGACAAAAACCAAGACTGAACGATCGTCCAAGTTCGTACTTGTCGACGACAACACAAATTTCGACCCAACGAATCTTTTCTAGCGCTAGACTTCCGTAAAGTTTGCAGCAAGCCCAATTCAAGTCAGACAGACTAGGGTCCTTCGACGATTCAAAATGGAACAACAAAAGGCAATCGCCAATGGTGCTGGGCCAACTGATACGCAGATGTCTGATATTGCAAATACCGGAAATGGTGAAATTCAATACCCAAATCTCAATAATGCTTCTAGTTCCGGTTCTGGCGGCGGAATTGAGACGACGGTGGGGAGCGTGACGACAGGGGGGAGCGCGCCGACAGGGGCCGTGCCGACAGGAAGCGTGCTGACAGGGAGCGCGCCAACAGGGAACGTGCAGACAGGAAGCGTGCCGACAGAGAGCTTGCTGACAGGGAGCGTGCCGCCAGGGGGAAGCGTGCCGACGACAGAGAACGAGACGAAGCCAAGTCGCTATACCCAAAAGCATCGAGAGACTGTGAACCGACTACTTACTCTGGCGGCTAATGATTACTACGGTATACTAGGCGTAAATCCGGATGCGTCAAACGCCGAGATCCGGAACCAGTATAAGAAGCTTTCACTCGCAACACATCCAGACAAAAATATTGACCGAGACGCCACAGAATGTTTTAAAAGTTAGTAGCAGGATGTTGCTCCACCGCTGATACCAAGTACTAACCGTGTCTCTAGAGGTTTCAGAAGCATGGCAGGTCCTTGGACAAAAAGCCTTGAGACGAGCCTACGATGCCGATAAGAAGAGCTTTAAGAATACGGGGCTTGACGACTCGAAAGAATGCTTCAATGAAGAGTTCGGCGGCAATGCCTTCGATGATGGTTCTGAAGATGAGTCTGACTCTGAAGACGTTAAAGCCGAAACCACACGAAAAGAGAACGCTCCTACAATTGGAGAACCAGACAAGGTCATAAAAGATATCTATCAACAGGCGACACCTTTCGTCAATGACTTGTTTTCGGACGATGCAAAGGACTCTAGCACTATGGGACTTCTTAATCTTAATAGACAGATCGAAAAGCAAAACGAAAAAGAAGGTTACGAAAAAAATCAATTTTTGTTCCCAGTGGGTGCACTACTAACGTTGTCCCACGATCTGAAGGCAACTAGAAAGGAGCCCGACAGTTCTACGGCGCTAGGACGAATGATCATGATAGAAGATGCATTTCTGAAGCTGAAACGGACGAATGGTTATCCAGAAGCATGGTCCCTCGGCATCACATCTGACCAGAGGAAAATGATCGACAAGGCGAGGAAAGAAAAAAAGGCCCGTGAGGATGAAATGCTCAAATCTTTTCAGAAGGCGAAAACTACCAAATCGCGAAATCCAGGGAAAGGGACTGCTGACGGAGAGGCACCGGGACCATCAACCGCCGAAAGGAAGGGAAAGGGTAAAGCCGACGCCTCGTCGTCTTCAACAGGCCCTGAGCGAGCGGCTTCGGAATCATCAACCGCCCAGACGAAAGGGAAAGGTAAAGCACCTCGGCCTACATCCGACGACACACAATCCAACAATATTTCACCTTCTGGGGCCGAGAATGAGGGTAGTGTCGGTACCCCAGTTGTGCGACGCAGGTCTAAGTGGTCTGCAGGAGAGACAAGGCATGGCGAGAAGATATTGGGTTATGTTCCGAAGTATGTGTACAATAGCGCCTCGGGGAGAAGAGACATTCTTCGCGGTGTGCAGTTTGTTATCGAAAAGAAGGACCAACCCAACCCCGTGGCTCTCGTTTCTGGGGAAGATATTGGAACGCGTGCTAAGCAGGCTTACCTCGACTTACCGGATGACCAGAAAACGGATTTGCGATATTCCGAGAAGAGATACTCACGCGAAAACTTGGGAGACTTCGACGAGCTTCTCGGATTCGCATCTAAGCCCTTTGAGACGCTAAAAGAAGGTTCTACGGCATACCCTCAGGGATATGGCTATGTTAAGCTGAAGAATGGGGAGAAAGATTTCTTGAGTAGAACGGCACTACGTGGCATGCTAGGACGGAAAGATGCGGACAACGAGATTTCTGAGTTCTACGAAGATATCAATGAGGTGCCGCCGTGGAAAATTCGACCAAAGAGCCTGAGAATCGAGACTGCCAGAGAATCGAAGCAACGACGCGCCTTGCGGGAGCCCAACTCAAGAACGCCTGAATCCGACTCAGGTTATGACTCTGAGGAAAATGACGGTCGCTACAAGACTGAAAGGAAGCAAAAGACCCTTCCGCTCAATATTGAGGAGAGATTTGGAACATTTGAGAGAAAGATAGAGCGTCTCGAGCTTCTACTGGAAAAATATCTCGGGTTGGAGGACTCGGCGGATAGGATGGATGAAAGCTAGCGTGCTATTTGGTACACAGTAACGATTTGCCCGGTTTTAAAGGATGAGAAGCTAGATAGATTGCATTGAGTTGAAGACTAATTTGGATTTTTTAAGTCATCGAAATCCAAGAGCCTCCCGGTTCAGCCTGGCGTATCACGTGAGTCGGGAAGTCCTAGGTTTAACCCAATTTGTCTAGAGCAGAAAAGCTTGTTCTGACATGTGCCTCCGAAATCTGATGATGGATAACAACCCGGTCAGATTCTCCGATCTGCATGTTCTACCATCATACTCCGTCGGTTCCTGAGGCCGTATGCCGGGTCGTCCTTCTACATTCAATTTTCCATATCAGTTGTAGATGAGTAGATAGTAAATAATAGATGGAGCGGGCCAGCCTTTTCTCATCTGCAGTTCCAAGGATATCGATCTGCTGATACTCGACCCTGGCCAGATGAGATACGTGATTGTGAAGACTTGCCGCTTCTTTTACGCCATTTGCGTAATTTTCGATTGTGGCGAAGGTCGCATGGGCCTTGGACATGGAAGAACTGGCTTGCTCCATCACAACATAATTCATAAAATCGCCTGCCGTGAGGTGGTCCTGAAGGCTGATCATATCTTTCTGGAGGATGAGGCAGGTGGTGACATGGTCTGTGAGAAGCTTCATGAGTGACTCGTGCTGGCCTGTCCCATAGAGGTTGCCTGACATCGATAACCATGGACCAATACTTGTGCCCTGTCTTTTGAGGTTCAGGTACAGCTTCGTATCAGGCCTCTGGTTTTCTCGAAATCTTATTTCTTCAATCCATGCTGTATACACTTCACTGATGCGTTGATAAACCATTGGGAGAACCTTAGTCGGTAAAAGTGACTCGAGTTGTCGCTGGAGGATCTCGCTGGAGACTTTCAAACGTTCGGTAAAGGAGCACTTGCGTGTAGGTGGAGGGCAGGTGACCACTTCTGCTTTTCGATAACCTACACGAAATAGTTCACGAGCCAATCCAAGTGCATGCAGGGCCTCCTCATCAACCTGGTCGCGTGCTATCTCGTCCGTGAAATGCGTAAATGAAAGCCAGGCGGCCATTGCAAGCCATTCGTCTTTGAGATGAATTTCTGGAAACAGCTGCTGAATTACAGCGAGGTCATTGGACGCTCGATCGCGCCATGGCATCGAACTATTATAGCCATACAAAGTGGCTATGAATTGAGCGTGGTCAGCGCAGAGGTGCTCATGTACCCTTGGACGTACTGGGCAAAGAGGAACTTCCAGCAACTCGACTATGTTTCGTGGATCTGCGCCCTTCTGGGGGTGCCCGATATTGAGCAACAATCCTGTCTGTAGGGACATATTGGCGGAGACGTCGTCTCTCATATTCCATACCTCCATAATGATCACTAAGCGAGGGATTTGCTGGACGAGAGAGAATGGATTGATTCTGGTAGGTGCGCTCTTCTTGAGTTTGACGAACATGAAGGGTAGCAAGAGATTCTCTGGTCGTCGAGGACTTCGTAAGATGTACAGTATTTCTGGTGGCCCAAGTCTTGTAATTTACATCCCTACATACCCAATTATGTTGACAACCGGGATTCCAAACGAGCCGCGAACTAGACAAGTCTTCCGTCTGGATCCTTCGCTTTGCACGGGCAATCAATTACATAAGACAAAGGACTTGGGTTACTACCTGCAGTTATTCATCCAGCACACCCCACTTTTGTAATGGGCAAGATTGATAGGTCCGGATGAAGCCGAAAAATTGTAGAATTTTGATTGCGAATGCATACTTAAATGCTTTTCAACCCTGTATTTCTCTACTGCATTCCGAAGCTATCCTGAGTAAATTTGTCCAAATGGCCGGCCTCTCTCACATCTTCTGGTGATTATAATTCGACTCGAACAAAAATTCCCCCTTCTGACAAGTTTCCAGTGAAGCTCTTGAAATACTGTCAGCCAACAGCGTTGAGCACCGTTGGAATCATGAAATCCGTTCAACACGAGATGTGAAGCAAGAGATCGGAACCTTGACTAAGTCCGAGAAGGAACTGCTGCTGGACATAGTGCAAGGAAAAGTAGTCCAATTAAGATTGATGGTCAGGAATGGAGGTCCACGTCAAACTCTCAAAGAAATTGGGGATCTGATCCTCCTTCTCAAAAGCTAGGGAATCGACCACGCTGACTTTAAATCTCCGGTATATTCGTACCCTTTTCAAGCTCGCGAGGAAACTACGTTCTAATATTATTAAGATATAACTATCTAAACTTGACAATTATCTGTTGCACTCGTGGGCCAAACTCAGGATATAGGATTGCCACGAAGGATCTCCTACTTCGTGTAGCATGCAGTCCACTTCTTCATGGGCATTATTTCTGAAACAAATTTCTTGCCTCAACCCAAGAACTATGCATAAGCTATTCGAGTAAATGCAGGCAGTCTTGTTAACGTCCTATATGCAGCTGACCTTCACTTCTCGATCTCCACGGTTGAAAACTGTCTGCGTGTTAGGTAGTGTTAAGCCATCTCGAATCCAACGCTGCACATGGATTGAGACATGCTGGAATTCTGGTTTCGAGTACTTGTGAAAGACTGTTGCATGATGCGTCCGTGGCTGCTTGCAATTTGCGAGCAAGATTGCTGCTCGGGGTTTTAGCTCGGAGAAGGAGTAATCAGCTGACTGTAAGCGGCAATCTGTCTGGGACGGTTAGATGCGAAATTTCAGTGACCTGGGTACTTACCAATGCTTCATTGGCCAATATCGTACGTGCTAGGAGATGTGTAACGGCTGCAGTGCGGCTTGGTAAGTCAGAAATGAAGCGTTCATCCAGCAAGGAGACCTCTAAAAAGTATTGAGCCAGCGCTCCCACCTGATCATCATCTCCCTCTTTCAACAGGGTTCTACGGAGAAATGCCATGGGACCGGGCCAACCAAGCTCAAAGCGCAACGAGGAGAGGATCATTCTCTCAGCTCTCTTGATCATGTCAATTCCATATCGCTTGAATGTGATTGTGTCAATAGTCGAAAGGGGTATTGGTTCACCTTCTTCATACTTCACCGCAATGATAACGGCTGCAGCTCCCAGAAGCTGGAGTCGGTCTCGAGAAACAGCACGGCAAGTCAAGAAACGGTCGATATAATTGACGGCGAGAAACAACGTTTCTGGACGTAATTCAAAGCACTGGTGTACTTTGACTATCCACCCAACCAGCATTGCACGTGTCGTCCAGTCCAATTCACGCTGGTGCTTCATGTACTGTGCGTGCGGCATCAATTTCACTTCAAGTTGCTTCTGGTATCTCAATATGTCCTGTTCGTACTCCGTAAAATCTATGTGGCTGAGAGTGCTGGGTGCAATGTCGCACGCCCGTATGGTGGAAGTGACGTTCGAACCGTGCTTCTCACCCGGTGACGAGGATGTGTGGGTGGGTTTTGCAAAGCACCTTCCACCTCCGTCGCCATGACTCCACATTTGTGGGCCTACGCCGCCTGATTGGGAATTATGACTTCGTACATTGTTTTGTTCTGACAAGGTCGACGCGAGCCTGCATAGAAGAGACGAATCATCCTTCCCTTGTGTAGTGACTCGGTCCTTACCCTGTAGCCCGGGAGCAATGCATACCTGTAGTATCTTCTTCCGCAGTTGCCTTGTGCCATCATCCACCATCGCGTCTCCTTGCACATGCTCTCCGAAGTGGTGCAGATCCGGTGATTTAGGGTCTTCCTGATGCCCGCCAGTGCGTGGAGTGGCGGGTGCTGTCTGAATTGTGAGAAATGAAGCGATTGCTGTCCTCATTAAGCCTATAGCCATGCGGACACGATACCACAGTCCCGTTCCTGGCGCAGGACAATGTCGCTGACCAGTCAAATGATGTGGAGAAGATATTTGACCGGGATGGTGTAACCCCGTTGCTGCTGCCTGTCCCGCTTCGCTCTTGATCAATCGTCCATCAGTTCGCGCACTCAAATGTACCATATTATCAGGCACAGGCATAATGAAATGGAAAGGGACAGAACAGCTCGCAATGCATCAGGTGGTGGTAATGATGTAGGCATAACAGGTTCCCGTAATTTTAGATCTTTTCTAATTTTAGATCTATCTATTCAAAGGCCTCGCGACCACGTACGACCAGCACGAAACAAATTGAACAAGGCATCTCCACCAACTTAATGGCTCAACTATGGCCGAGTTTGGATTACATGAAGACACAGTTTTCCCTCCTCTCCATGCTGACTCTTTGTCGATTGCAATTAACAGGAATTTTCTAGCTGGTGTTACCAATGAAAGCCGAGGCGACGGAACGTGGACCGAAAAGGCCATTCCACCGAAGTTGCGAATTATTCCACGTATTCGTAACGCTATCTTTGTTGAAGAAGTATGGGTTCCCCACTGAAGACCCGGAGGTGAACGCAGTGCTGGTCACTTGCCCACACCAAGAACAATAGACCACCGCAGGCAAGGTGATGGTGGGTGACTCGAAAATCTGGACCGGAGAGGGAGGCGAGACAGTGGCCGAAACCGACGATTGTGGTATGTTTGGTATGATCTGAAGGGTCGGAGTGTTGAAATGAAACGGGAGCGTGGTGATCGCTGGAGTATTGTTTGATCCTGACGGAAATGCTTGAGTTGGGTCAAAGCGTTGATTGTCCTCCCGAAAAGCCTCAAAGCCGAGATTCATCTGGTGGTTCTCCTCGTGCGGCTGCGTCCAGGAGTTAAAGTCCAGCATGTTCCCTTCCATGGTATTTTCTAGACGACAATTGCAGATGAGTTAAGAATATCGAAATGGCTCCTACCGATGCATCTTATACCAGCCCGAACAATTGTCCCACCACCGCGAAATAAATATCCTGCTTCCTTTGCTACAGTGCATACATGGTGGAACCTAACGTTGCAAAGTTTTTGTCACGACGCCCCGCATCCCGAATCACTTGTAATACTCACTATGGAGAAACTGTTACAGCCGTTTGCAGTTGCGGCTTCGGGCTCGACACACACTCTTTTACTTGGAAATCCATATTTTGAGTCCACATGGTTCCACTATATACTATATCAAGTAAAATTCTAAAAGATGGCTTGACCAATAGGTAACTAGAATAGAAGACGGGGACCTCTCGCATTAACAGAGTAATACCGATCACCATACGTAAGAAACTCGTGACTTTCGGGGCTGACTTATAGCAGCGAGAGTTCTGCATCCTTGGCAGCGCCGCTAGCGCGTCTGCCACTTCCTTCAATAAACTATTCTTTCGCTTTCTCTTCTCGGATAACTTTCCCAGTTCAACCTGACTTTCTCCACCATGACTACGCTCTCCAGGTCGCCGTCTGAAATCGCTGTACGCGATTTTATGCAGGCTGGCGGTGTTGAGTGACGCTGCCAAGCCGAGATTCAGCTCTTGCTGCTATAAATTTCGGGGTATGAACACACAACGTTAGATTTCGTGACTTACGACCGACCCATTCTAGTCATGCACTAGCCCTGATATAGACAAGTAGGTGCTATCTACACTGCTAATCAAATGGAGATCAGGAAAATCACGGGGCGTATCTGCACAACGATGCATCTCATTCTTTCCACGCCAGTAACGGCAGGAGATAGGCAAGATGACCGTTTTCGGCTTACCTTCCTGTATGATCTTTACCTGATCTCGGCGCCTTCGCTCCGGGTGAGCTAAGACAAGCCGAAATTTTAGCCTACAGTCTTTCGGGTTTGGGAATCTCTAGTTAATCAAGCGCGCCAAAGGCAAGAAGTGACGTAAGTATCTCCACCGTTATACCGAAACACCTGAATTATATATCAACCTCACACTTGTTATCTCATGAATTTCGCCTAAAGCACCGGTGCTTATTCGATTCAGTCACAAACTTAACAACGTTCTATTGCACCTACAAGACGTCAACATGGCTAACGCCGACGAAGCCGCATTGCCATATCACGAGCCTCATATCGTCACTATCCTAATTCTGGTCTCATTTATGCTATTGCTAAACCTTGCGAACCATATTATCGATAAGATACTTTACTGTGGCCTTCTCGCGCAGCTATTCCTCGGTATTGGATGGGGAACTCCAGGAGCGAACTGGCTCGGCCGTGAATTCGAGCATGTTGCTGTTAACCTGGGATATCTCGGGCTTCTCCTTATCGTGTACGAAGGAGGGTTGATGACCTCTTTCAAGGCTCTAAAGGACAATATTCTCTTATCTGCTGGTGTGGCAATCACTGGTATTGCGCTTCCAATCGGGGCTTCCTATATCCTACTCACCCTAGTGGGGGCGACACTGCTGCAAGCTTTCGCCGCGGGTGCGGCACTTTGCTCTACGAGTTTAGGAACAACATTTACTGTCATGAAAGCCAGTGGCCTAATTACTACCAGAATGGGCATCGTGCTTACAAGTGCGGCAATGATGGACGACGTTGTTGGACTTATAATGGTCCAAGTCATCTCTAATATAGGAGGCGCATCTTCGTCCTTCAGCGCCGTTACCATTGTACGACCAGTCTGCGTCTCAATTGGTTTCGTAGGCGTTGTCCCACTTCTAGCCCGATTTATTATCCGACCGCTTACGATTTGGTTGAATTGTAAACGGACAGCTAGCCCCACTGGCTATATCAGTTACATCTTAACTCGTGGTGCGACTACATTAATTCTCCACCTATCGATCCTCATTGGTTTAATCACCGCAACAACATATGCTGGAACCTCAAATCTATTCGCAGCCTACCTCGCCGGTGCATCCATCAGCTGGTGGGACACCACAGTTCCACATCCACGTGCTCATGGTTCCGGCACAAACCTTTCGACCAACGAAACCGGCCGTCCACCGTCTGTACTGAGCGCGACATCTGGCACAACTGGAGTTGAAACCTTTGAACGCTTCTTCTTCCAACCATTCCAACGGATTCTAAAACCATTATTCTTTGCATCTATTGGATTCTCAGTGCCTATTACCCGCATGTTCGATGGCGATGTCATATGGCGTGGGGTCATCTTTACGATATTCATGTTCGTTTCTAAGTTTGCATGTGGCTTGTGGCTCATGCGCCTGCCTGGTCTAGCATCTGGCGTCTTGAGATTGGGACGACGCTCCGATACGGAGAAGAAGCCTACGGGCGAGAACAAGATGGGGACCGTCGCAGCAGTAGCAGGTTCCGGTTGCGTGTCAGACCCTCAACAGGCAACTTCAGGTGGCATAGTCATGCAAACTTCTTCTCCTGTACCAGGGAAAAAGCAGTCCGCTCCACGACAGAGTAATGAGGGCCGTGCTCGCACTAGATCTGCAGTCACTTCAACCTCGAAACCCATTTCACTTTATTCTGGCTGCATCGTTGGATGCGCCATGGTAGCTCGCGGTGAAATTGGGTTCCTCATCTCTGCACTCGCGGAAAGTAACGGCATCTTCGGTGATGAACCCAATGGTCCTATATTCTTGGTGGTCACATGGGCGATTATGCTGTGTACTATTATTGGTCCGTTAATTGTTGGAATACTGGTGTCAAGAGTGAAGAAAATGGAAGTTGGAGCAGCAGGAAGATCGGGAAGAAAATCAGTTTTAGGAGATTGGGGTGTCAGCTGAGCGCTATGCTGAGCAACGGACTGAACGTTCTCGAGGTGGTTATTTTGAGGGATTTTGCCTCGCTACCTCAAGAGCTAGCGGCAGGAAAGGCCGTGCGTGATATGTGCTCTCCAAACTAGAGTCTAAGTTGTGAAACTTCAAAAGTAAATGAACGCTATGGGACGCAGAATTCCCCGTCACAATAGGAAAGGTTGTTAGATATGCTGTGCAGCTGCCCTTCGGCAAACCTTCCAAAATCGAACGGCAAGACTGTGGCTGGCGGTGCTGAGTGGCTTTGCCAAGCGAGATTGAGTTCTTGCTGCTATAAACTAGAACCGAAAGAAGAAGCTCCTCCGTATTGTCATCGGTACTGCTTTGGAAATCCTCGAGGCCCCCTCTTTTATATAACTGTTCCATTGGTGAAGCTAATTTTCTAGCTTTACTTAACATGGTATGTTGTGGACCATGAGTGAGGTATCCTATGGGTCTCAAAAGAATAAAGTGTGTAAAGAACCCGAAGCCGCAATCGCAAACGGCTGTACAGTCCGCGGGCGCGAGAAAAGGTATCATTCATCCGACCGGAATGATACTGTAGTCCTTGATAATCAATTTGTGGATTTCTCGAGTGTTTCGCTATACCTCAAGCTCAGCAACTCAGCAGACTATGCTTCATTCTGTGAATGATTTTGGTCAACGACAAGGCCCCCCACTTCACGGATCGAGTGCGATGCCGTGATCGGCGGGTGTCAATGGCCACTAGATTGGCGCCTCGGCAAATCTTCGCCAAGACGATAATCAGTCTCACCTTCATGCAGCTGGACTGGCCGCATATTTCCTCTGCCTTGAATTGGTATTACTTAGCGAGGATCAACATTTGCTTTAGTGCCGGAAACTGTACTTAGGTCGAGGTATCTTTCTCGAACAGGGATGAAGGGTGATGATTTGTTACTGCAGACGCCAATATGGTTGGAGTGTTGATCCTTAGGGCTCCGAAATGAATACGAATAATGTGAATATTCACGAATAAATACGAATATGAATACGTCTTG